TTAGTGAACAAAGATAAATTGTTTTATTATCATCATCAAAAAGTTAAAAAGATCGCCTTGTTAATTATTAATCTCGCTTTCTCTAGAGTTTTTTAGTAAATTGGTTCATAAGTATTATTTTCCTTTTCCAATTTTACAAGGCTAACTACAATTTTGAAAGCTTTAATCAAAGAAACTTAAGTCACTATAGAAAAGCTTTCTTATCTCAAGAAATATTTCAATATGTGTGATAACAGTTCTAGATGGAGTCTATAATTTTTAATTACATGCACTTATGATGTTTAATTAGGAGGATATTTAAGAAAGGTGATTTTACTTATGATGATATTATTAAAAACATATGCTTTTTCACTTGTGAAGAAAATTAGAGACTTCTTGATTTGGATGTTTAAACAAACTTGTTTTTAGGTGGGTAATTAGCTCATGGGACCTGTATAGCTAGAAGTATGATAGTATTGAAAGCTGGAAGAATAAATATTATAATAATTAGTTTAAACTTTGGAAGTCAAGATTCAGAATCAGGCATAAAAATGATATGTTATATGTTAGTGTTTTTTATGATGGAATTGTGACCTCATGTATTTAATTAGTTCCAACATTGGTTGATATGTCTCTACTATTAGCTTCAGCTGCTGGTTTTTTATAATTGTTAGAAAAATGAAGAGTGATAAGAATGATATTGACAATAAAATATATTGGTAAAATAAGAGAAGAAATCTGAAAAACTGGTATCATACATGTTAGATAACACGCAGAAGAGTGTATATTTGTCTGTCATTGGCAATGGGTACAATTAACTATGGATATATTAATATTACCTTAACATGAAAGTACTTTCAACTCTTTCTTTCTTTGAAGTTAAGCAGAAAGCTACACAATGGACTATCTGTGCTCTGCCAACCACGGGTATCGAAACCAGGTTTCTAGCGTTATAATTCCGCAGACATACCGCTGTGCCACGTGGGGGGGGGGGGGCACTTTCAACCCAAAGGATAAATGTATAGTAGGCACTTTGACATGTAGTGAAATAAGTTATATTAGAGTGTGAAACAAGAAAGTGTGAATTGTTATCTCTTCATTGTAGTTTAATTTGTAAAATTCAAACTTTATTCTTATATGATAAAAATTGAAGTTTATTAAGTTTTATTTTAATAAATTTCTTTTGAAAATGCTTATTTCAAATTTTTTGTAAAGTGAAAGGATCAGTAAACTCGTTTTTATGAGCTTTAACGTCAAGCTTATTAATACACATGATCAGTTCGTTATCACTTGGATTCAGATTCTTAACGCTTAGTGATCAAGTGCTCTTGTCATGTTTCATTATTACTAAACTCACTATGTTAAATACAAGAGATACAGAAAATTAAATGATGATCTTACATACATGGAACACTAAAATCTTTTATCGTACAAATTAATTTACTGTAAATTATACATTTTATATAAAATGTAAAAAAAAATCTTTAATATAAACAAATAATTGCTTCGAATAACTATGTTATTAATTTTACATCTACATGAAATATAAATACTTTTATTGCTGATGTTTAAGTTGTGTTCTGACATAAGCGTCTGTGTTACTTTCTGCATTAGTGCACACAGATAAACAAATCTAGCTTCTCTCCCTACAAAGGTACAAAATGTTTTATGAAGGTCACTAAAACCAGTTAATAACATTCACTGAACACGTGACCAACTCTCTTGGTGAGAACTAAGCTTAAGTTCAGATTGTAGAATTGAAGATTGAGGCATCTGTAGCTGACAACACATGAAACTAAATATGAAATAATATGAAAAGACTGATCTTGCTTTACATAAACAAATATTCCAGTTTGAATTATACAAAACGCATGACCGTTGTTGTTTTTATTTTGTGTAAGTTCAAAAATACAAGCATATGTGTATATATTTCGTGTTTAAATTAAATTACAACTATAAACGAACGTGTACCACGTGTAAATCAAATTTGAAATCATACGTTCAGTGTAGATTAAAATAAAATGACTACATATAATATGTACACTCTCAAAATGTCCATGACAAATTGTTAAACTATAATACATTTGAAACAATTTGTCAGACTTTTGAGTTTGAGTTATTATTACACATAAAATCAGAATCCACTCTTACGAGATTAATGCAAAACAGACTTCTTAATTTTATGAGACAAAAGGTCCTGGAATATGCTATGAATAGCACCCCTCCCTCCTTTGAACTTTAGCCCATGTCACAAGAACACTCGACTGAGAAAATAAAGTATTAGTGGATAAGGGTTAAGCGGCCACTTTGGCTCATTGGTTGAACAATTGAGTGTTAGTACGTCAGTTGCGAGTTCAATTCTGGTCGAGGGTGTCATTGATCAACTCAACTGTCCATCCTTCTGTGGTTAATGAATGATAACCAAGTCCCCTTGAGGAATTTTATCCTATGAGGATATCTGCTCAGCTAGCCTTCTGAGCTTATCCGCGTTCTGTCCAGAGCGATAATAAGTACGACAAGGCGATTAGTAAGTACATCTATGGCTAGCCTTGTGCAAATGTCATGGTGTGGATTTAGGTGACAGTTTAAGAAATAGGTTAATAGCGTTTCTATTGGTAGGTGATTAAAGCAATTTCATAATTTTTATCAAATATTTTTGCTGGAAAATCATAAAGTTTTGTCAGATTTGAATCTGTAGGACGAGTTCTCTATGAGAAACATGATAATGATGAGAGATCACAACAATCTGTTAAAGTCCTGGTTTTACATAAGTTCTAGGGAAAATAACACAGATTTATGAATATATTATATGCGTTATATCAACATAGAGTGCGTTTTGACAAAGTATATAATGGAAAGTGTTAGATACGTATTCTGGTTAGTTAATATGATTTATATGTTAAAGAAACTGGTTTGAAAATGTTACTTCTATAGTTTTTCATTTTGACAATTTCATAATTTTGACTTTAGTTTGCATAAAATGTTTCATATGGAATATAGAGTTTAATAGCTTATTGGTAAAGTAAATTATAGATAATTTTACTTGATAACAGAAACGCTATCTAGCAAACTTCCTGCGCCCCCTTAACACGTTTTTATTTCTTTTTTTTTGGGGAGGGGCTTTTCAAAAAATTATTTGTTTGCAATTATATAATAAACCATACACATTCTAAACGGAAATTGCAAACTAAATTCATTGGTGCAAATCATTTTAACATTGCGAAAACGCTGTTTGTTTATTATGCGGATTTGGAACTAATTTTTTGTGACCGAACCTTCCGCGATATAATTGAGCTTACAACCGAAAATATCGTTAACAGCGAGCGTATCCAATTGATGAAACAATACGCCCTAATCATGATAAGAAATATCGGTTGGAGAGTATATTTAATTAGCTATGGTCATTATTATTATATATACTTGTAGTTCTGATCTAGGTAGGTATCTTGCTTAGTGTGTGTGTTTTATTAGAACAAAGCCACATCAGGTTATCTGCTGTGTCCACCGAGGGGAATCGAACATTTGATTTTAGCGTTGTAAATCCGAAGACTTACCGCTGTCCCACTGGGGAACACTTTGATAAGAAGTTAACATTAAATAGTTTAGCTATCTTTATTTAAAGTGAAAACATATAATGTCATAAAAACTTCCATGAGAACAGATATAAACTTAAAGTTTAAACCTAAATACTGTAATATTGTCCATTATATGGCATACACATTTAACACTTTGTAAAATATTATTCGTCTATCACATCTCGGTGGCATGCTTTCAAGAAGCTTTTGGTAATCGTATGATTCCAATAGGCAATAGCTGCCTCTGTAAATTCACGTTTTCCTTTTGAATGAGCAGACTTGTTAACATGACGATTCATTATCATCCACATATTTGTCATCAGACTTAAATCAGACCACTGTGTTGGCCATTAAATTCTTGGTGTATGATTGACTCTCTGCGTATCAAAATGAGTTTGATCTGATGACTCCACTGACCAACATCCCAATTGTTATGAACCCTGTCTTACGGAAACGTTGCTACATGTTGCTTTTCTGGACGTCTTTTTGCTCTGTTCTTGCAACCTATAGCACATTGGTATTGTTAACAAGAAAGTTGTCTTTTCATTATAAAAGCAATGCTGGAGAACTCAGACTATTAGAACATACAGTGTCAGCAACAAAATTATTTCTGAAATAATCTAAGACTGTATATATGGCGTATATGGACTTGAAAGAGAGCTCTTGCTGCGTATGTTGGAAGTATATAATCCTGAAGTTAGATTGTGCACAACGTTTTAGCTCATAGCTCATCTTCTAATAAAAATAATCAAAACTTGTTTTCAGAATATGTAAAACTCAACATACGTTCACAGAGAAATAAATGTGTGAGAAGTAACTAACTTGAAAAAGTGAAAATTTGTTAGATGGTGCATAACTTTTTCCAGCTATATCAAATTATAGCAAACTTTGTGTTTTTTTTTCTTCACATTTCTCGTAATTTGTCCATTACAGACTCAAGATCAGAGGCGAATATATTGTTTTACAGAATACATGTGAAATTCAGTAGCTTCGTATTAGTTATGAATGCGATCTTCTCTGATGTTCTTGCCACCACAGTGCACTCTCTACAGAAGGTTTTAGCATCTGCTGATCATCTCTTAAACTTGCATACCATGTCCCTTCCACCATGAGGTTTCTCACATATCTCATCTCCCCACTTCTATCTCTCCAGTCTCTTAATATATCTGGGCTTCCATGACTGAGACTTCCACCCCCACCTCATCCGAAAAATACCCACACATATCACTTAGAGTAAACTACATCAATATGTCCATATTACATTTACCAAAGATCCTGGACCATTTCAGATCACCATTTTTGACTACCATTTCTGGTTTTTGAATTTTCGTTATTATTTTCAACTATTGGCCGAATAGAGGGAGTAATCTCCTGCGAGCCCCCCCCCCCCCGGGCTGGAATAGGAAAATACTATCCTTTGTATTTCATCGCTCAACTCTATTTTTAACGAGTTCTGGTATTAAATGAAAGGCCTCTTGGGTAGTATTTTGTGGGAGACAAAAGATGGATCTGAAGTGCTATTTTTACACTCCTATGATTTTGAATCTGCAATGAACAAATTAAGTAGATTGTGAAAAAAATATTCAGTTAAGATGATTTTTATCATACATCTTAGTTTTCAATGCAACATAGATTGAAATGCAAGATAAACTAGTGTAAGGATAATCACGCGAATAAGTCATGAAAACATTATATAGTAAAGTCAAACTAACAAACCTAGTGAAGCATAAATGTTATTTTCTATCTATTAAAATGCTTTGCTCATTATTTGATACGTATATATTAAAATGTAATTACAAAATAGAATGTTGGCCAAAACGATACTGCATGAATAATAAAGATTGTGTTTGAAATTTTACAATCGATGTCAAAACAAAGTTCATTATGACATCAAAGTTCATTTTTGTTATCACGAACCGGGTCATATATACATCCGTTGAATAAATAATCTAGCTATAATTATATTGATAAATGCGTGAATAATCTTATTTTTTAATTAAAATTGATAATAACGTTTTACCCACTGATATAGATAAATGAAAACAAATTATCATTCAAATAGAAATAATACTTAATTGATTTATTTAATAATCATCGTAATGAACAATATATTCAATATTAGAATAAGAATCCATGATTATTTTTGTGGAGCTAGCATGAACTATCAACCCCTCTGGTGGACTCACAAGGAACTTGTACTTCTTTGGTGGATCGAATATTGAATTAGATGCATCTTTAAATCCTTATGGCATCACAAATACGTGATCTTCTTCCTTTAAACCCCCCTTCTCACTAGACAACATCTTGTGATATCCCCTCTCTGAGACCCCATCCCCCACTAAGGCATTTTCGTTGAGACAAATACAGACCGGTATACTACTGTGTAAACTATATTTTTTATTTATAAAAGAAAAACAAAGTTTATCAACTAAGCTTGGATTTGTGTACACGTTAACCTCTTAGGTACGTACAGTATTTCTTCAAATGTTACGGCTCCCCAGTGGCACAGCGGTATGTCCGCGGACTTACAACGCTAGAAACCGGATTTCGATACCCGTGGTGGGCAGAGCACAGATAGCCCTTTGTGTAGCTTTGTGCTTAACTTCCAACAAACAAATTTTCAAATGTTACGATCATATTTTTAAGGTAAAACTATTAAATAACCGTGTACTACAATTTCTTTAAGATTAGTCAAAGATTTTTCAGTTCAGTTATATGAAATACGGTTTTTATTACAACGAAGTTATCGTTGTTTCATAAAAATTAGAATATGAACCAACTTCATTTTTAAATTTGTTAATAAATCCAAGGAGTCGAAGGAAGACCATGTGTAGCGGGTTCTTCTGACTTTCTGTCTTCTCTCTGGACAGAAATCCAAAATTAGGGATGATTAGACGTGAACTATAGTGGTCTCTCACTAGGCCTTTTCACTCATGTGTGCACAAGGTGCTGTTCGGGTTGAAAATTCCACTTCACATATATGAATACACAGTGTCTTATGCCTTTAAAACAAAGTTTAAGACGAAAGAATAACCAATTTTTATAAGCATCAAGGATGTAGCCAGGAAATAAAAACTGAATGGGTGGATATTTTTGTTTGTAATTAAGCACAAAACTGCACAATGGGCTATCTGTGCTCTGCCCACCACGGGTATCTAAATAAGTCATGTTACTAAACTTTTATTCTATTGGAGCCTTATTATGATTTCCAAAGAAAACAATTAGTTGTAAATTTATTTCCTTACCTGTAAAAAGGTTCCCCACGGTTACGAAGTATGTCCTATAATACATGTTCTACATTATTACTATGGTTACAAAATACATTCTGTAGGTATTGCATAATACAGATTTCTACCTTTGTATAGATTATGAAGAGAAATATACACGGTATTTTGAGGAAAATGCCCTCACCCCTCACAAAAGTCTATACACTTCTATATTATCTAACGAAATTTAGCCACGTTGACGGACATTTCTATTTAAACATTATAGTCATTCTAAATGTTACTAGCAAGAACGTTTTGTAGCGATGAGATATCACTCACTGTCATGTTTACAGTCTATACGAACAACTCAGTCTAATTATTCATTAGTAACTTTTAAATAATTACATAATAATAGATTACTAATGTCGAAGGCTTACTTTATCTTTCTTCTCGTGTGTTATTCATACAGTGTTAGTTAAGAATTATTACAATTTATTGTATGGTATTTTTTTCTGACGTGATGATTTATTACAGATATATTGGTGTCAGACAATCTTGTATGTCTTTTATGCTCCCCAACTCTAACTTTTGTTGATCTTTTTGTTTTTCCAACATGTTGAAGCTTCAATTCACAAGGAGTGTTGTAAATGGTATTTTTTCTCATCACTGGGTCTTTAAGTGGCTTGGTGTGTACTAATTGTGATTCTACTGGGCTGTCATCTTTGTATACTATTTTGAATTTATGCTGTTTATGTATTCTTTGTATGTTTTCAGAGAAACATTTGACACGGGAGGATGTGGTTGTGTATCTTACTGCCTATTCTTGGTGTTTATCGTTTTTATTTTCTCATTATAATGTGTTCCAAGTGTCCATTGTCAATGAGGGTTGTACTGATGTGGCTTTCTTCCTATTTTGTAGCTGATTTGATATTGCAAATCTTGTTTATTCTTAAAATTCGGTAGTCAGTGATGCCTGTCTTTATACTGTTGGGTTGATTATATTTATATTCGAGGTATTTAGCCGTGTCTATGGGTTCCTGTGAACTCCTGTGGTATATGAGTTATGTGTTTTGGTAGCCATAACGTTAAGAAATGGGAGCTTATCTTTTCCCATTTCCATCGTGAATTGTACGACAGGACGTTGTCTGTTATGTGTGACTATATTGCGAATGTATCACCAACATATCTGAGCCAAATCTTATGTCGTAAAACGGCTGTTTTGGTGGCGTTAACCTCGAAATATTATATGTGTAGGTTAGTAAATACTGTTGATAGTGGTGACCTCATAGCTAGGTTTTCTTGTTGTTTGTAGTATTTTTTTTTAATTTGAAAGTAGGATTCGTTGTTACAAAAGGTTGTGAGTTTGATTATTGTCAGTTGGGTACATCTCTTAAAAATTCTGTCATTTTTAAGCGTGTCGGGATTGATACGTTAGCGATGAGGTTGGATTACTCGAAGGGGATCATTGTGGCTCGTGAGGTCACTGCTGTTATTTTTATGATATTCGTAAAGAAGGTTGAGCTGTTAACATGTGAAGATGTTTTACCTGCTAATGTTGATATTATAATTACCAGATATATAGCTAATAAGTGGCATTGTGAACATCTGCAGTTAACTATGGGCCGGAGAGAGTAGCCATCTTTTTTAATTTCAGATAAACAGTAGCTTTGTGGGGTGATTCTGTTGTGTGCTGTTAGTTACATAACTGTTTCTATTCCAAGTTATTTCTAATGTTTCTTGAGGAGTTGGTTACTTTTCTTTTCCTGGCTAGTAGTTGTGTTACACTCGACCTTCGTAAAGTGGCCATATTGAACTAGAGTTTGAAGTTTGATAAAGTATTCTTTTTTGTACATAACTTTATTATGTTGGGAAGATTGTTACAGTGTCACCTTTATTCATATTTCTAAGTGCAGTTTTTGTTTCTAATTGAGTGATATTTTTATTGTATGATTACATTTCTAAACCATATCTTTATTTGGAATTCTTCTTGTCTGTTAAACTGTAAATTGTGTCTTCCGTGGGCGTAGCTATGTCTAATGTGGTGTTTTGTTATGTTGGGGCAAAATTTAGTCCTTTTTTGAGTATACTTTTTCAAGATTCTGTTAATGGTGGCCTACTTCCGTTTATTACGGTTTATAGTATTGGGAGGTTTCTGTAAACGTTGGATGAGACTAATTACTAATTAACAGCTAATTATTTAAAAATACTAATTAATGATTAGACTCACAAGATTGTAGGGAATTAACCACGAAAGCTAAAACATTTTCATCGTGTTATATTATGCACAACAGTTATTGCTTTATGGAAGCTAAAAATTTTGATTTTTAAGCTTGTCATTATACAAGTTAAACTATAATTTTGTTATAGTTTTTAGAAATATTATCAAGTGCGAATTCCTATGGTGGGCGGATATAACTGAAAACGTAATTCAAGAGAAAACTATTGCGTCGATATTTACCAGATCACTCAAAAATTAGACATAACGTTTGAAAAATTGTATTTTATTCTACAGATACTATTTCACTGAATGAGTAGAAAACAAACACATCAATCCATGAATAAACTCTAAACATGCAAAACCTTGAATTTTATATTTACGTTGAATAAGAGTGGAAAAATCTAAAAATATGTTACTAGAAAACATGTTACTTGACAAGTCACATTATAAGATTTGTGTACAATTAGATGTCGAATATAATAAAGGAGAACACATGACATTACACAGAAGATACATCTATAGTGATAGTCATTTTATAATATTATGACATGATCAGTTGATATAGCAACAGTTGTTAAGCTAGAGTCGACATCTAGCGGTGGTTTAGATATGAAAAAATATTTGTAATAGACTAATATATATAGATATGGACATACATTCAAATATTCTTAAATTTGCAACACGGTTCTTATATAAATGTTGCCTAATATTGTTATTCATGAAATCAGAAATAATTTTCGTGTTAACTCTTATATAGTAAGTTTGCTATGCTTTTCTATTATAAACACTATTTTATGATATTTGGAAATAGTATATGATATTGTTTCAGCTCTAAAATGCTGACTTTAGTATGCTTATTTGTCATAAGTTAACCATGAAATAGTGATTTTCGTTTGAATATTTATCAAATGCATTTTCCGTTAGCTGTGAAACAGTTACTTTAGCATGCTTAGTTGGCAGGAGTGTTTCTTGGTTATAAAAAAAAGTGGCTTTTGTATGCTTATTTATCAGAAGTATTTTTTATTAGCTGTGAAACGGTGATTTTAGAATGCTAATTTGGCAGGAATATTTCTTTGTTGGCCATAATATAGCGACTTTAATATACTTACTTGGTTTATTGTCAGAAATATCTTTGATTCGTTTTGAAATAGTAGTTTTAATATGTTTATTTCTAAGGAGTATTTTTGGTTAGGTGTGAAATAGCAGCTTTAGTATGCTTTCCTATTAGAAGCAGCTTTTCAGGTAGCTGTAAAAGAATGGTTTTATATATATAACAAGTTTTTGTGTCAGTTGTGAGGTTTGTTTTAACTTTTCTATATTTTTATAAAAACTTTGTTTTAACTACAAAATGATTAGTAGCTGTAACGTGGTTTTCATTGTGCTGTTGTTTTTAGCTCATTTCAGAATTTGCTTTAATAAGTCTTCATAAAAAATCATACCTTTATTAGAAGCAGATTTTGAAAACTACAAAAAAATTTTTGTTTAAAAACAACGATTATTTTATATTCAATTCAATAAAAATGAGATTGTTTCC